ATACGATGAATGCATTAAGACATCCCAACAAATATAATGTTTAACACGAGTGACACATTACACAAATGTCTTTATAAAAAGACTGTGGCCTGAAATGTCACCTTCCAAACATTACATCGTCTGATGTAAATAGATTATTGTTGCCAGATATATAACCATCAGCACTATCTAATAACAAAATCGGCATAATACTTTTTATATTATCTAATAAAATATCTAATAAATTTTATATGGATCCATATTATATGCATAATATGGATCGAAAACCTGGCTAGCTAACTCCGAAGCCGAAAGAAGACGCAATCATTTATCAATCGATGCTTGCGCAACATATTAGGCATATGGTGGCCTAGAACGATTTCAAATGAAGAGTTATGGAGAATCACGGACTAAACAAACGTAAACGACGAGATAAAAAGAGAGAAATATGGTTGGATTGGTCACCCACTGCGTAAACCTTATGGAGATATCGCGCATGCTGCACTTACTTAGAGCGCTCAGGGGAGTAGGCGCAGAGGCAGACCAGCAATGACCTGTAGAAGGGCAGTTCAGCAGGAGCCAAGCAAATCGTTTGACGAGTTGAGAGCAAGAGCACAAAATACAAACTTGTGGAAAACTTTTAAATACTCCTTAAACTCCTAACGAAGTATGAAAATAAAAATAAATAAAATGGAATTCTACAATATTGATATTTCTATACTTCAATAAAAGACGACTTGAAAAATAATATCTATCTGAAGTACAACTCTAAATTTTTAAAGGAAATTTCTTTTCAATAAAAATATATATTCTGGATTTATTTTAAAAGAACCCAATAAACATCTACTACTCTCAATCTACTATTGAACCAAACTACTCCATTTTATACAGACTGTATATTACCTTTGTGCATATAATAATAAATGTTTTATAATATTGTATAATATCCATTTTACACTCTTACACTACTAATTGAACGGTATAGTCTGCTTGAAATATTACTGCCCTACCGAGCTATAATTACATTTAAGCGAAGGCGTGCTTAACATGTTGCTGTTAGTTTCTTCTATTTAACAGTAACGAAACTCATTAGCGCTGCTAATTACTCTGTTGTGCTCTGTTGTGCTTCTGCTGTTAATTGTTGAGGCACAAACATTTTCTATATTTCCTATGCAAGATCGATCATATGGAGTTGATTTTTATCTTACTTTCGCATTTAAGACTAATTTTTTGGTAATAATAAATTTTATGGCATTTTCAGTTTTGACTTGAGCTCATTTCAACTTAATTGGTTAAATATTAAATCAAAAGATTTATCAGATTTTAATAACTCGAACCGTTAATAATTTTTAATGTTTGTGGCTATTATGGTTGTTATTGTTGTTGTTGTTGTTGTATTTTTATTTTCATTTTTCACAATAAATAATATCAACTAAGGATTATGCAAATGAGGCTATTTTTATTTTATGTGCCTTTTTATTAATTTTATGGGAAAAATGTTCGCTTTATTAAAATATTTCTTAATGAATTGCGTATTAAACAAAAACAAAAACAAAAAAAAAACAATTTTAATTAAGCAAAACACGTAGAAAACAAAAAACAACATAAACTTTTATGAATAAAACATTTTGGTTTGGCATAAACAAAAATTATAAATTTGTCAAAAAAAAAAAATAAATAAATAATAATAAACATGTATATACATAAAAATTTACTAAAATTACTTAACAAAAAAAATTAAAAAAATGTTTTATTTATTAAATAAGAAAAAAAATCTTAACAAACAAAATTAAGACAAAATAAAGATAAGAAAAAACGCGACGACCAGCGAACAAAATTCTGTAGTTCCAATTAACAAAATTGCAGTTAATAATTATAATAAAAATTAAGGAATAAATATTAAAAAATGTATATATAAAAGTTATAAACAAAAGCCGTATGAGGCGGGAATAAAATTATTAGCAGCAAGTTTTTCCTTTGACCACTTAAGTACTGACAACTTCGCTTGGCTGGCATTTTTATTTCATTTTTAATTTTTAATTTTTATTTTTTTATTTTTATTTTTTAATTTTTATTATATTTTGACTCATTTTTATGTTTTAATAATTTTTTATGTTTTGCGCTAATTAAAATTTGTGTTGTAGTACGAGAATTCGTTACTTGACCACATTTTCCGCTGACCCAACGTAGTTGGTGTGACCTTTTTAGCGTGGATTTCATTATTTCTTTCCTTATAATTTGACACTCTAGGAAAGTTTTTTAATATTTCTCATAATCAGAATACTAGCAACAAATGTGCTTCATTTAGAATTTAATTGTCAGTAGAAAATTTTAGAATTTCAACAACTTTACGATTGAACGTTTTTTCCGTCCCAGTTCTTGTGCAATAAAAATGCTGCATGCGATTTTGGCTCAAATTTGCAGCAAATCAACTTCAAAGCTATTTTTCATATAACAAAAAAATCTATCATTATAATTGATTGCAATTTCATTTGAATATATGTATTTAATATTTTTTTAATGAGTAACAAAAACAAATTGTTGTATAAGTAAGTTAAATTACACATTTGCACAAAAACTCACATCAATAAGTTTCAACATGTAACTATTTTATAGCATGCTATAAAAAATATTTAGTGCTATGCATTTTTAATTTTATATGATAATTTTGCTGCAGTTATTTATCAATCACCATCATAAAAAAAATATATTATAAATTATCAAGTAAAATTACATGCCACGGAGAAGCAATCAATCTTTTTACTTGTACGTTAGTCAACAAAATAAATTTGTTCAATTTAATAAATTTTACAAACTTTAATACCAAATTGGTCGATCGCACTAACGTTAGTTAATAAATAAAACAAAAGCTTTAAAATCGAGAAAAAAAATATAATTGTTAAATAGCAACAGCGACAAAATAGGCAAAAACGTCTAGAACGTTAAACAATTTCAATGGCAGCAGTTGCAGTTGCTGTTGCTGTTGCTGTTGCCTTAACTCTTTAACGGCTCTGGAAGGTCACAGAGCCACAAATGACTTCCAACTCCTCCGCCTCCCATGCAAGTTACGCACGAAAACAACACAAAAACAGCAAAAGTTACAACTGACAATGCAACTCAAAATAGCAATTCAATGTTGAAAAGTTAGGAGTTATAAGGCATTTCCAATCCAAAAAACTGTGACAGGCAATTCGCTTTACAAGCAAACAGATAGACGCGGACAGCCGCAGACAGACAGTTGGACAGACGGACGACTAACTTACACATGCGTGCGACTATTTATGCGCATAAATTTATCTATGCGAAACATTAAGAAAGACGACACTTTAATGCGCAACTGGACAGGCTGGTATATGTGATCGATCTTGCCGATCTTACCGAACTTACCGCTTGCAATGATCTTAGCAACCGCATCGATTGCAGTGGCGATTTTGACGCGTGAGCACCGCTCGAGCACATGCAACACATGTGTGTTGCATTGCGTATGGCCAGTGTAGCTCATATAAGTCCATTTGAAGGCGGACTGGTGTCAGAGTTTCGGTCGATCCACCACCTCAAAAGGCAATGTGGAGTAGTCGCTTGTATGCGTGCCTATATGTGTAAATATCCATTTTTATTGTTTTATTAATTTGTACATATTTTAAAATTTTTTATTTAATTTTATTTCATTTTTTTAATATTTTTTATATATTTACTTTTTAAACAGACATTTTAGGCACAAGATCGATCGAGAGCACCTGTGCATTGCTTAAATAAATGTATGTATCGGGTGTATACATATATTAAGACATACATCATAAGAAATTAGTGCTTACTTTTTTGTGATTTATGTATATATATGCTTATACTATTTATTTACTATTATTAATTAAAACCTGTGAAAAAAACTGTGTAAAAATGTCATTATAAAAATTCCCAACTATTAATTATACATGCTTAATATTATTATAATTATTTAGTTTAATTAAATTTATATAAAAAAATAATTATGCATAATTTTAATCAGTAAAAATAATAAAATAAAATTATTAAAAAAAAATGAAGAAAACAAACTCTTAGCTAATCCTAGCCACAGCATGGTCCACTGTTCAGAGCCGCAATTTCCTGCAATTAATTCGCATGCAACTTTTTTGTTGCCAGGTTTTTTTCAGCGAAGTTAATTCATTATATGTAACTTTATTTTTTGTTTATATTTTTTTATGTATTTAATTAGTAATTAATACCACTACAATTGCTATAAAGTCCACTATTAATATGAAATCTACTTTTGTAATTTAATCAAACTGCGTAACAACATATAAACGATAAATAATTTTGCTTATAAAAATAATGAAGACAATCACTCTTCATCAAAATGATAAATTACCCGGAATGTTTCCCTTATCGTAAGCTAATAATAAAAAATATTTGAAATAAAAAAATGTTTAGCATAAAAATAAAAATAAATATAACCATAGTATATATTTTATTTTTTTTAACATTCGTTTGTAATGTTTTTGTTTTTTTTTCTAAAAACAATAAATTTGCATGTAATCTGGATGCAAGCGAAAATGTTGTTAAACTTTGGCTGGCAACAATGTTTAGATGCAGAATGCAAAGCAAAAATGCTTTGCATTTTCGATTGATGACTTCCTTGCTCCTTTTCAAAGATTACGACAGTTTAATATATAAATAATATATTTTCACGATTAGAATTTTCTTAATTTATACGAATTCACTATATATAAAATAAAATTTAAAATATATGTATATAAATTTTAGTTTAAATAAGAGATGATGTTTTGACTTCTTTTAGGAAACCAACATCTTTTATTTTATTAAGAAAAAAAGAGACCACCTTGAATTATTATTGTTATTAAAGAAAATAAAGGTTGGCATGAATACACCGAATATTTTATTGCTCAGAATAGAAACCTTAGAAAACTACACAGAGTTTAATTTGCGAACGTGAATAATATATTAAAGTCACAAAAGTCACATTCCATAATATGTAAATAAAATAAATTAAATTAGAAACTTACCACAAAAAGTTTAAACAGTTCATTTAAATTGAGTTTGTGATTTGATGTTCGATTTAAGTCTGAAAATATAAAAAAAATAAATAAATTAGTTTCGAAAATATTTTACATATTTAATATATAAAATGTGTTATATAGTTTCTTAGTTAAAAATACAAAAATTAAAAAAGAAAATTTATATAAAAGCAATCATCGATGATGTGAGATGCATAATTAAGCTCACATTTTTTACAGAAGTTGTAAAGAATTTCTGTAAGCGACATTAAACTGTAATGAATTAACAGTAAAGGCAGGGTGGGCAAAAGCTGTTAAGATTTTTATATCACCCAATAAAATTTTATTGATATGTTAAACAAAAATTTTTAAAGAAATATTCAGTAAAATCATAATCGAACTGTAGCCAACACATCAAGAACAATAAAAAAAAATTTATTTAAAAAAAATGTGACTTCTAAAACCAATCGTAAAGGCATCCTGCCGTGCATAAAAACATAAACATAAAATTTTAATATTGCATCACTTTGACTATGACAGTTGGCGGTTTATTGTTACAGAAATCTATTTAAATGCCTCAGAGCAATGAAATATTCCAAAATTATTGCATTATTAACAGGTAATCACAGATGCATTTTCAAAGCTCGGAATGAAAGCGGCTTTTTAGTAAAATAGTTCACACAACATAAAAACACAAAGCGAAGTACTTCCACTTCTTTAAAGAACATTATTAAGAGAACTATGTGAGCACGGAACATACCTCCAGATACGATTAAATACGATCCGTACATGAATATAAAATTTATATGATGCATCATTCTATATGGACGAGATTCGTCAGGTTTCTTGATTAAGACATTATTTCATTTCAATAAATTGAAGTTAAGAAGCTTTAACTTAATTATTGCCGAAGAAAATTGCCAGCTGACATGTATTAGAAGTAAATGCACCAAATTGCGTGATAAAAAATTAAAGTCTATAATTTACAAGTTTTATTATTTTGTAAATACTTTACGACTTTTTCAGTTTAATATTTTGTATTTAATGTATTTCTTTAATGATAACAATAGCTTAAATGAATTTATTTTGTGTGGCTAAACTAAACAATTTCGTTTTGACAAATTAGGTGAGGTCGCAAAAGTCACCTCACATGCGTTAAAGTCACCTATTAAACATTTTAAAATGCAATTAAAATTCTTCAAGTCATTCAAGTCGACTTTAAAAAAATATTGCTAAAAAATAGTTATTAAATTATAAATAATTTACGATCCCATTAATGAATATAAAAATCAAACAGAAATATTATTGCCAAAGCACACCAAAGTGCAATGCAAATGTATGCTATTTTGCAGCACTTTTTTTATTGCTTGACTTGTTGAACACACAAATACTTATATAATGTCTCACAGTTAAAAATGTTTAATTTAATATTAAATTAGTTCATTTAATATTGAAATAATAAGTTCTTCCTAAATTGAATTTTCTTCATTTAGGAAGTTCTAATAAAAGATTGAATAAGACTTAAAAAGTATATAAATTGTTGCTTCATATTGTAAGAATCTTAAATTATTATAATCAAATTATATCAATTTGTTTAGTTGAGATTTATAAGATTGTTCTTCTATTTTTTCACTTGTTCAGTGTAAAGAAAGTAATAGGTTTTTGACAACATGATCATCATTATTACTTAAAGCTACGATACGATGTGGCTGCATTTTGGCTTCTTTTAAGTTTTCTGCCATTTCTGATTAACTTCCTTTAAATTTCTTTTACCAAGAGTTCTCATACCTTTGACGATACACTTAATAACACGTGTTTTTCTTTACTCTAAAGCATATCAGAGTTCTGTTCTTACAACTTTTACTATCCTTCTCAATCTCTGTGATTTTACCAACATATATTTTTTAATGCTTAATACCTATATAAATATTAAATTATTTAGACAGCATTAAACTGTCAACTGCCAAATCTATTATACAAACTCTAATTTTCTTATAATTTCGAATCTATTATATTTCTTTTTCAGCCTCGAATTCTATTTACAATAATTATGACTTAAAATTCTCTCAGGCACTCTTCGTATCGAATTAGTGGATTGATCTCAGTTCTTTTTCGAAAATCGAATTTAATGACTTAAAGTAACTAAAAATATTCAAATGAAATAAAGTTGCCGCAAATCCTTAAGGCGAAATACAATCATCAGGAAAACGCTTATATAACTTTGCCGCCAAAAACAAAGAAAATAATTAACAATAATGTAAAATGAAATATTAAAAAAACACAAAAATAAATGTTTTAAGGGTAATTTAATGTATTTAATATAATTCAAACAATATATTGAAAAATATTATAAAATAGAATAGATATGAAAAGTATAAAAGTAGTAATAGAAAATAAAAATCATATAACAAAATATGTAAATAAAAAATGATAATAAAATAAAACAAAAACGCTAAACATTTTATAGAAATTAAAACTTAAAAAAAATTAGTAATTGTAATTATAATTGTAATTGTAAATAATTGTAAAATAATTGAATAATTTTTTAAGTGTATAATAAATGCATTACGCACAAAAGTAATAATAAAAGATCAAATAAAAGCACCGTTTTAAACAAGAAGAAGAAGAAGAAGAAGAAGAAGAAGAAGAAGAGAGACAAATATAAACAATAACAAAAATGCAAATTCAGGTGCAAACTTCATTAATCAAAATTTAATTTATTATTTATGTAGATTGAGAATATGAATAATAATAATGATCATAATGTCAAATAATGTAATTGGCCGTTATCATTATGACTTGTGTAAGTCATAAAATTTTATAAGCACTACCACAACGACAATTGCTAAAGCTCGTTTTGATCATTTAATAAAATAATATAGTGGAACAACAACAACAAATCTTCGTGAGCACAAATCAATACGAGTAACATATTTGTTGCTGTTGTTGTTGTTGTTGATGTTGTTGTTGCGATCGATGCTGTTCGTAAATTAACAAGGTTTTTAACTTCGTTTCGTTTCAAATCATTAAACACTGCGAAAGCTTCTTAATATGTATTTTGCATTGACGTGCTTAGCTGTTATTTTGTATGCGTGTGCTTGCTACTGTTAGGGGGGAAATGTGTGCAGAGGGAATGAATGCACTAACGACTGACTAACTAACAGCTTTGTATGCAGTTAAACAGGTAGCCTGCCTGGGCATAAGTTAATAAATTTCAACTTTTAACAACAATTAAATTGTACTTAGTCCCTGTCCGTAGTAGTAGTTGTTGTTGTTGTTACTGATAATACCACTTTAATGTTGTTGTTGTTGTTGGTGTTGCTGTTGTACGTACGCTGATTGTCTGCCATTGAGTATTTTGTAGTTGAACGTGTTTTTTTTTCATTAACTATGCCAGGCTAGCGTCGAGACAGCGTGTCTTTCAGCGAATTAGCCATTATGTGGTGGGGGCTTATAAAATTAAACATTTTTATTTTCAAATTAATAATAATAATAATACAATATAATAACAAATGCATATATAAAAAATATATTTAAATGAATTAATAGATGCACATCAGTTATAAATGTTGTTGTTGTTGACTATTCGAACTAACCAAACTGCCACATGCAACTTATGAGCTATGACTACTACTTGAGGCCATGTTAAACCTATGAAAAATCTTACAAACAGATATAAAAAAAAAATAATTTCATATATCATACTAAATAAAAAAATAAATATGAAATACTAAAATTTTAAAATACTTAGAAAATAAAATAAAAATAAAATTAAAAACAATAACAATAATAGAAAAAAATCTATGAAAGTTGCTGCTTGTTAGTTGATTTGATGTGGTTAACGAGTAACGAGTAAAGATTACAGACCAACAACCAACAACCAAAGACCAAAGACTAAATGCGCAATCCGATTTGTTGGAGGACGTTGATTGATTAAGTGTTAGCGACGTTTTAAATTGTGCTTGAAGACATTACAAAAAATCCGTTGCAACAACAATAATAACAACAATAACAACAGCGAGTAAAATAACAAAAGTACTTAAGCAAATGACTAACCACATTCGTATTCATATTCATGCTACCAAAGCGAAATTGTTGAGAAATGCAGGTACACATGCCGCCGCCGTAGCGGAGAGGGAGTGAAATGAACTTTTTTACCATAATTTTTGAGTTATGAATTTAAGTTATGTTAGTGTTGCCACCCTCAGCGCAAAAAAAAAATAAAAACAAAATTAGTTAGAAAAAGTAGCGAGAAAAACAAAATAGAGAAAAGAAAAGATACGAGCATTTGTGTTAAAAATAAATTAAGTGGGCGTGTCATTATGTGTGGTGGCGGCAAAGTTATAAGCAAAATTATGTGGCAAACAAAAGCCTTGGAAGGTTTCTGAAATTACTTTTTTTTGTTTTCAGATTTCTTAGACTTTTTTTTTTTTGTTAATTAATTTGAAGAGTTCGTAAGTTAAATAATTAAGAAAATTAAATCGTTTAATCCAGATGATTGATGATATAAAACAGTAAATACTAAAACTATTATGCATAATATGCACAATACTATATATAAGAAGTAGTATACTTATCTATACACATATATACTCTATTTCAAAAATTCGTGGAAATTTGTTTTCATTAATGGAATCCACGTAGTATGTTCAGTGCAATTCAAACTTTACTGATAAAACTTGTATACGTAAAAAATACATAAATCACATTTTTCTTGTATAATATATTTATGTTTATTATAATATATTTAATATAAAATTTATGACGAACTTATAAATGAAACAAAATGAGAGGAGGCTTATATCTGCTCGTTTGTCTTGGGCATTTGTGTTTTGTACTCGTATTAACAGAGTTATGCGATTTTTGATTGGTAAATCTAGGGTAACTTCTTCAATCGAGATCCACTTTTAGTGCAATTTTCCTTTTTCGATTGATGAATCTCGAGTGAAATATAAAATACTCGAGATTAATTTATTTAATTTAATTAATTTATATATTTTGCCAGAGTACCGAAATTACTCTAAAATCAACAGCTGTTTTATTTGACTTGATAGACAAAGTATGATTT